CCAAGCTTCTCTTTTCTCAGCTACCATCCATCATATCAGAGCATTATATTTACCCACTCATTTATTATTTTATTTATTCAACAATGATTAGGCTATGTTAGGTTATGGATACAAAAATTAAACATCTTTCATATCAAAATTTTCACAATTGAGGTTAAAATAGCTTCATAAGCAAAAATTGCCGTGTTTTGAACTGTTTTGCAACGTTATATTTGAAAGTGTCATGTAAAACAAAGAGCATATTTATGATCCAGAGAAAGTAACTGAGACTATTGTGAAGATTTCAAACAAAGAGGATTTTCACGTAGTTGATGGAACATCTTAGATGTCCATGGTCGATAGTGGGGTGGCATCACCCAAAGGACACTATCACCTTCATGCCAGAGGGAAAAATCAAGAGCACATACTACTGGATCTCAGTTTCTTCCACATAAGCTACTGATAAATGGTGATACGGATTAAGACAGTGAATTATATCCAGTTAGTAGTGACCCTGTTGGTACAACAAAGAAAAGGATAACAGGAAAAACAAACAAAAACAAACAAACACACACACCGCCTGGTCCTGTACCATCATCACAGTTTTAGGTTTGGCTCTGTTATTGCAGCCGTTGTGTCAATCCATCTCCCTGAGGTCTTCCTTTCCTTCTGTGACCCTCTCATGTACCAAACAGGTTCTCCCTTTCCAGGGACTGCTCTCACCTGCTAGCAGAGCCAGCGTTTGTGAGGCCAAGTCTTACTGCCCTTGCTTCTAAGGAGCGTGCTGGCTAGCACACCGAAAGGAAGAGAGGCTGGAAACGTGTCCAGTCTTCTTTCCAGTTACTGAGTCCCCCTAGCTGAACTCCGTCAGAACGCAATAGACCAGCCTCTTTGGAAATGAAGTTTTTAGTTCGGACTTATTTTTAAAAGGGAATGTCTTCTATCATACCTTGAAAAGCTAGTGTGATAATCAGTGATAAAGTATATAAAATAAAGTGCCGTGCACAGGAAAACTTGGGTATTCTCTAAATGACTATTAGTAGTATCACCACTGATCATATCCTCAAATTTCTATGGCAACAGCGTTGCAAAGCTGATGATTTACCAACCTGCCTCGTCATCTTTGCAACACACGTAGCATGTGAAAATCTTCATGGTTCATAATTTCTATTAATGCTCCTGTGCACGTATTCAGTCGACTTGTTGCCCTCTGTGAGGAGTCAGAGGTACTGCATTCGGCCCCTAATTCAGTGCATCTGTTGGGGTTCGTGATGAGAGAGTCTTTGCTCCCCCCACTATTCCACCCCCAACCTTCACACCAGCTTCCTTTATAAAACAAAGGGACAGCGAATGCCACTGTGGATTAATACCATCTGCAGTGCAGGCTGCTTCGGGACAGGCCCAGGTTTTTCTGGCTCAGATCTTTACATTGAGCTCTAAGGAGATGCTGACTGCAGAAGAGCAGAAACGACAACTTGGTACCCACTGGGCATTATGCACTCTTTCCATTAGAGGAAGAGAAGAGAATTTTGAGAGTCAGCTCTTAGAAGGATAGGTAAATTGACTAGGACAGGTAATTTTTTCTTTATTCTTTTCAACTTCTCCTTTCTCTTGGCCGCTCTGAGATACTTATTCCAATAGGTAGACATTAGATCTATTCCATAATTGTTTAAATGGATCGGCATTTTAAAAGGTTTTTGACTAGGCATATATTTACGTCGCAAATGGATACTGCCCCCTAGAACAAAAGATAGTTTAAATTTATATTCAAAAAGGATCTTGGCAATTCCAGTTCTGCAATGCAAGGGTGAGTGGTCACTTGCGGTTAGTCATGTCTTGTCACATCTCAGACGTAAATCTGGTGATGGAAATGTAAAAGACCAATCTACCACTAAAAGCTTTGGCCAATACTATTGGATATTGCATGCAAATGAGAGGACAGAAGAATATTTCCAAAGGAATTTGTGGTTTGAAACAACTGCTCTCTGTGGAGGAAAAATGGACCTCCTGTCAAGAAAAATTAGTCAATTTTCATATAGTTCCCATAGTAATATTTCTCCTCTCCTCTTTAAGATACTTGCAGTGTAATGGCGTTTGCATTCATACCCAGTCTTCAAATAGTTTCCAACCAGTGACCTTTCTGAACAGAAAAAATATAAAGGCCTTATGCTATGCAGACAGAGGGAAATGATCTCAGATAGCAATCCTGAGATGCAAGAGAAAGGATAAAGAGATATGGACATATTAGTAAATATAAAGGTAGATATAAAACAATATTGCATTTATTATTACAGATGTTGCATTCATGGAATTTAAAGCAGAGACAAACAAACAAATCATAAGCAGGAATAATATATAAATGGTAGTATAGTCAATGTAGGTGGGCGGTTGGTAATGTTTTCTTCGAGTGGTCTACCCAAATCATTCAAATGGTCCCAAATGTGCCTGAGTAGGACAGTGAGCAGAAAGAGAAATCAAGTGAAAATGGGAAATTCTTTCCAGCAGAATCCAATTTTTGCTGTAACAAGAAGTATCTTTCCCATTCACATGAGTTAAGTTGTGTACAATCTGTACTCTTTTATTTAAAATTGGGGAATGAATAGTCAAAAAGCAAAATATCAGAACCGAGTCCATTAACAGCAGGTAATTTTTATTTGAACAAGCGGTTTACAAAATTACATTTTCATTCAGAGACAGTCTGTGTACTTTATATCCTAAATTTCCTTTTTTGTTTCCTACATGAGATGAAAATTGAATTCCAGCAATCCATTTTGTGTTTTAAGTATTTTCTACATAAATATTTGAAAATGCATACATGGAACAAGGTTAAGGCAATTTTTTATCAGGAAATACAGGGTAATTCTTTATTTAATATAAATATGACTTAGATAAAGGTACAAAGGATTCACACTAAAATTAACCAATCATAATAAAAATTCTGACATATTTTTCAAGGTAATTATGGGCACCATTTTATAAAGTTAAATAAGATTGTGTGCCAAATATTAGCTATATTACTGGTACTTCAATAAATCACTGTTACATGAATTCTTACTGTCTATAATTATTGTTACTAGAGTTCTTTATTATGAAAGTGTTTGTCAGGATTCTCCAGAAATCTAGGCTTGATGATTAATAGTTGGTTAGTGGATGGGCATGATAGATGGTTATATGGATGGATGGATGGTGGTAAAATGTAAGAGACAACATAAAATGGCATAAGAAAAGTAGGTTACCTCTAGAAAAATAAATTGCCTTTTGAAAGAGCTAGTTAGTGTTCATTGATATGGTACCAAAAGATTAGATTCCTATTATAGTCATTAGTTCTTGAATACACAGAAAGCAAGTAAATGAGTGTAAAAATGGGTTTATTCCAACAAAATGTGTTTAAACACCTATATAATCTGTGAATTAATGCAGACAAGTTGTCTAGTGATTAAACACACTTTATTCTCATTAGGTTGCCTGAATGGATGGGGGTATATGAGCAGGAGGGGTTCAATTTCAATAGTCATCTCTGGTTTTATTTGCTGGACTAGTTACTTTCAAGGCAGAGAGGGAAGCTCAGAAGATGATGGCAACTATTGTGTGGGAGTTGAGGGTGGTGAGTTGCATATCCGTGAGTTATTTGGGAAGAAATGAGAGAACTAGAAATACTACCTTCAGATATGCATAGACTTAGATGGAGGCTATATTAGGGGTGGGTGTTACATGTTGATATTTTTGTTTCATACAAATTGTTTTTAGGATTTTGCTGGAATTCTTTCATAAGACTTCAAAATGACAGCCATCTAAGCAATTCCAACTCATTTCAGCCCTGCTGCAAATCATTACAGGATAGATAGCCCTCTCTCTCTCTCTGTCTGTCTGTCTCTCTCTCTTGCTGCCGGGGGTGGGTTTGAACTACTAACTGTGCAGTTAGCAGTCCATCTCTTGCCAACAGTGCCCCAGGGCGTTCTCATACAAACAAGTAAAAGTGACCCAATAATTTTTTTTTAATCTTATGCCAAGATGCTAGCTTCCAAGGGAATTTAAGAAGTTTACCATAATAAAGATACTTTCAATATTTTCAATGCAGTTTTGAGAAACTGGTCTTGTTCAACATTGAGAGTCGTGATCCAGTTTAGGAAATAATGTATATAATGATGGAACAGATGATAATAAATGCACCATATTCTCTCTAATAAATACAAACTTTTTCATCATCAGAAGAAGAAAGATCTTAATCTCCCACCAGGCATTCCTAATATTTAGAGTTGGACAAGTCATTCCAGGATGACTTAATTGTTAACAGCACTTAATCCCTGGGCGTTAAACTGTCTGCCTGGTGGCATAGTGCATTATACCCTGAGCTACTAACTAAAATGTGAGTGGTTTGAACTCACCAGTTACTTCTTGGGAGGAAGATTAAGCTGCATGTTCCTGTAAAAATTAAAAGTCTCAGAAACCTGAAAAGTGTAACCTGGAATGGATTTCATGACAGCAGACTTTTTGTTTGTTCCTTTGTTGTTTTCATTCTCTATTGCCCATGGGAAAATGTGTTCACTCAGGCTCTACAACGCTTCCTCTCTCTGTGCGGGCCCCTCCCTAGTCAGACTTACATGAGTAATTCTGATCAGCTGCTCACATACCCGGCAAGGGTCCATTTTCACTTTGTGCAGTCGTACATCATGCAAGTGATCAGAGAGGGGGAAATGTTCTTTTAATTCCTTTGGTGGTTAGTTAATATAGCCATAAAACAATAATTTACTAAATATTTGTTGAAGGGAAACCTGAAAGGTAAATATTCCAGTCTGATTTGCATAATTTACCTAATGTAGTGATTAAGAGAATGAGATCTCCTTGAATTCCCCAGTTTTTCTATCATCTCTGAACAAATTTTACTTGAAAACACGTGGAATGCTTGCCCTTTATTGGGCTGTGGCTTCAAAATTTAAATTTTCTTTGAAAAATATTTTTGAACAAAAAGATCAGGAATGATAGCTAAAGAAATGAATATTTGTTAAAATTTTCTGCTTTAGAAAAAAAGATTGCTGATGTGCAGCTAAAGCGGAGTTTAGAAGAGATTGGAGAGGAGAAACGAAATGCCAGCAGAATCAGTAAGATAAAAGATAGACCACTAGACGTTACTTAGTTTTCCACTGACAACAATTTCAGAGGCATTATTATTGTTTTCTTTCTCCCCCCTAGAATTAAATATTAAACATATTTCCATATTCTAAAAGTATCCACATTTTATACAGCTACCCAAATGCCAATTTCAGGACTCCAAACAGTGTAATTGAAAGTACATTCTGAAATGCTCCAAGTATTCAATCCAATGGTAGGTTTCATAAGATAATGAATTAAGATATGCACAGTTAATACGCTAAATAAGTTTTAGTGCATTTTCACTTATCTTTCCATCTGAAATAATTAAAAGAACATCTTTCCAAGTGAGATGAAAACAGAAGGGGTGATGATTATTTAAATTCAGAAAAGGGAAATTCCATAAAAATTTGTTATTTACTATGGTAAATGTTAAATTTGATATGTCCTTTAAATCCACAAATCGTCATTAATAAAGCTTGTGAAATAAGTGTGTTGCCCCTAAGAAAGTCTAGGAATTCACTTTGGTACATTGGAAAATGTCCAAGTTGCACAGCAGTTAAAAATTAGTATTTCTTTAAAGTTTGAAATTTAGAGCCTCATAAAACTGTATACAGATTAAAACATATAGAACTTTCAGAAATTTTTAATATCTATTTGCTTGTTCTTCAAATAAATATTCTTAACATATCTATTATGACATATAAATAAATCTCTTGAAAAGGATTAAAATGTACCAGAACTTTTAATTTTTATTTTATCATGAAGATATTTTTCTAAATAAGAGGCATACTTATGAAACATAGGCTTCTCTACATAAAACTTTAATTAAATCATCATATTTTACAGAGTTGCAGTCAGCTTTTTTTACATAAAGCATACAAAATAGAAACCACGAGAAGGCACTTCTGATCTTTAATGTAGGTTATAATTAGAAACAAGTAGAGAGAGCTGGAATTTCACAATATATTTCTAAAGATTTTCAAAATTTGGGTTTAAAAAGGTTTTCAAAAAGACTCCCATGAGCGTGCAAAAGTAGGGTAATTGCTTCTGGATGATGTTTTCAGAGCACTTTGACACTATCATCTTTACTTATGCTGAGATAAAGTTTATGGATTAAATGTCATGAGAAACTAATTGAAACCCTTGATTAACTAGAATTGGATGTTCTGACAAATTGATTTCTCTGGTTAACATATTGTTACCTGAAAAAAGTCTCTTTTATTTCAACTTGCCTTATTGAAAATCTCTCTAGACTGTAATGTTCAAGGCCCCTGTTTTCATAATTAGACTACATTCTTAGAAGTGACTCTTCCCTTGTTAACTGATCGTCTTCAAATCTCCCAGGTTAATTATTCTGTACATCAATTCCCGTCTTAGAATTTCAGATCTACATCTGTATAAAAGCAAGGAATGGCTCGACCATGGACCACTTTTTAAACTGAGATTACCAATGTGAATTTTATTTGTAAATATCATAACTTTGTTCATTTATTTTTAACAATTCAACAGTGCCTATGAGAACCATTTAGTGACATTGAATCTATTATTCACGCCTGTAACCATTTTCACTCGCCTTTACTGAGCTATTCCTCCTTCATTAGCAGAATAAGTTCCCTGCTCCTGGTGGGTCCTAGCTCATCTCTCCAGGTGCCGTTGTCAATGTGATCCCATCGAGGTAATTAGTTCATAAAGAGTACTCTCCTCAATCAGACAGTATTTACTAGTTAAATAAAACCCATTGTTCAACTAGAAAGCAGAAAACTTTTCACTACAATCAAGGATCAGATGAGTTCGTCTCGAGGCTCTGTGGATTGGTTGACATAGGGTACCAACACACCAGCCTTCCAAGCATACTGAACTTCTTAACAAGGTCAGATAGATTAGCACAGGTCAAACACGTGGTGAAAAGTCCCTTTTTTTTTTTTCTTAACTCAGGTTTTCCGTCTTTTGAAGTCCACCTGTATGTGAGGCGTGGTTGCATAGCGGTTATGAGTTAGGTTATGGGTTGGCAGTTCGAAACCATCAGCTGTCCCTTGAGGGAAAGATGAAGCTCTCTACTCCTGTGAAGAGTCTTGGAACCCACAGGGGCAGTTCGACCGTGTCCTGCAGGGTGACTGAGTCAGCATCAACTAGACGGCAGTGACTTTGGGCTTGGCCTTTATATGTGTGTGCATACATACACACATAGACGTATATAATACAACATTCATGTACTTCAATGAGAAGTGTGTTATGGTTAGTGTCACCCCGTGTCTGGATGGCAGAAGGATATCTCCATTTCTTGGTGTGAAGACCAAAAGTGTCTAACTGTTCTCTGGGTGGTAAAATTCCCCCTTTTGTGAACTAATGCTATAACCAATTTAAAATAATAATATATTAAAAAAATAAGTACATCATTTAAATGAGTATGTCTTCATTATTACAGATTTGTGATGAAAAAAAAATAGAAAATTCAGTGTTCTAGTTAACGTAGACAGAGGTAGTTAAGGTATAAAAATCTCACTGCCTTTGAGTGAGTGCTGACTTATAAAGACCCCCTGTGGGTCTCCCAGACTATAACTGTTTATGGTAGTAGAAAAGTCAATCATTCTACAGCTCAAGTTATGGGTGGTTTCGAACTGCTGACTGTGCGGATAGCAGCTCTGGATGTAAACACTACACGACCAGGGCTCCTCAAGTTGAGGTATAGCCACATCCTTTGTGGTCCATTTCAGGAAGGGGTCACTTTCAGACTTAGCCTGTGATTCTGCTAGGAACAGGAAGTGACTCCTCCGCTGAAATGGGAAGACCCCAACCCACTCTGAGAGTCCAGCTTGCAGGCTTCAAGGCTATGGCTTCTCTGTGTTCTACAGATTAGCAATGGAAAGGCTGTAGCGAGACAGCGAAGCTGGGTACCCACAGAACAATGGCTTTCATCAGAGGCAAAGCCAATGAGGAGTGCTGCAGGACAAACGTCTACAAAGCCACCTCTTCCAATAGGGAACAACATACAATCAATCTCAGAACAGCTTGATAGGGGCTGGGGGACAGAGATCCTAGTTATGTGCAAATCTATCCCCTAACCCTCTGGGAACTTGCTCAGTCCACTTAATCCACCATTGCCCATTGGTAAAATAGTTCCAAAAATTATTTCCTCCTTTTTAAATTTTTAATAGTGAAATGATCATTTTATTTTTCTATTTATTATACATGTTATTGGGAGCTCTGACAGATATAACAATCCATAATTCAATTAGGTCCAGCATAATTGTACAATTGTCGCCACCATCTGTTTCAAAACATTTTATTTCTTCTTGAACTTTCGGATACCAGCTCCCCTTTATTCCCTCCCTCCCCCATCCTACCCCTTAGGAACTTGTTTTATTATATTATATATTATTATTAGTTATTTTGCCCTATCTTACACCATCCAATGTATCCGTTCACCTACAATTCTGTTATATAACCTATATAGTCATCATTGCTGTCAGCTACCCCTTCTGCCTGCCCCAACCCCACCCTCTTCCCATATCCTCAGGGAGTCATTACTACCATTACTGCCTCTGAATGGTTATCTATCTTGGCTTTCCTGCATGGAATGAACTTAATTAGACAAATGATCATACACAGGGCTAACACGATCAATGAGGTAAAACAAAGACCATGGTAGTAAGGGGAGGTGCCATGAGACATGTTTCAGAAACAAATATATAAGAATCTTGTTAAAATATATATTTTGACTGAATAATGCAAATTATCATCAGTGAATTTCTTGAAACTAAAGTTTTAGAGGTTAAGCTATTTCTTTACTAAAAACAAGATGTTCTACCTTATGATTTTTAGAGAGCATGCTGGGCACATTTAGAATTTAAGGAAATGATTAAGGTTTGTTATTGTTTCCATTTTCCCCTGGATTTCATTAATTAAAACAAAAGAATGAATTCTTTCCTCATTCTTTTACAATACAGATTGTTTTATGTTATCATGTATATTTACAAGTTTATGTGAATTGGCTATTTTTAGAAGTAATTTATTTGTTTTTGTTGTATTATATGAATTGTTTCTAGTTCTAAAATGGAGTCCTAAAGAATAATGAACAAAATTGTAAGGCAAAAAGTAGGTTCTACTTCAGAAACAAGTTTAATGTTTCTTTCTCGTGAAAAAGTGCTAAGGTTTCTGTTTTCATTTTAAAGGTTTATACACACTCACTCACATATGAGAGTGAGTCCAAACGTCTTACGACAAGGGTTACAGTTCACATGTGTGTGGGTTGATTCCAAGCAAACCGCAGTTAAGCGTATCTCGGCAACCAGGGGATGAGGCAGACAAACTCTTTCCAGCCAAACACCCGTCCTCTCCGGGCGGTGCAATCGGAACAGGCACCGGTGCTGAATGTGAAGTGGGGAGATCTGTTAGACCACAGAACTGACTGTTCCATTAATGCTGGGAGCAAAATCAAGGCTAGTGAAGATGGTTTCATGTGACAAACTATAGCCAGGGATGAACCTTGCATTTACTAATAGGGTCCAGACAGCAAGGTCCAGTCACCACGGTGGCTTCCAACAGGAACCGCTCGGCCAGTGACATTGGAAGAACAGGTGACTATTTGGGGGCGTGTCCAAAGGGTAGTTTCGAAAGGGTGAGAAACCCCGTGGAAGCTGTTCAGAGGCCTGTTTATTTTTGTCATGAAGTCAATGCACCTGCGATGCTTCAAGACTAAAGAGAGCTATCCTCTGAGAGTTCCCTTGGGCAGCCTTACTACATCCACCCGACAGCCAGGTTCCTGCCCCTCGTGTTCCCAAGGCACAAAGAACATCTTAACGAAGTCCAATCCGACTTCTTCAAGGACAGTTGTTTTGACGCGGGGTACACTGAAGACCAAGCAAGTTCTCAGGGAAAAGCCAGAACACGTTTCCAGGTGAGCAATAGGCCTCCTGGATGAACTGGAATGATTCTGGGATCGGGTAGGGGCACAAAAACAGATCCTTAAAAATGAATTCTATGAATTCAGCGGCAGCGAGTTTGCTCG